CGGGGCGGGGTGGGGGTCCAGGACTGCCTTGGCCGCCACCAGCGCGCGGGAGCTGCGCCGGAAGCCGCGGAGGAGGCGAGCGGCCTATTCGCGCCAGAGGGTCCGGCGCGCTCCGACGGCTCCCGCTAGAGCGCCCCCTGCTGCCCAGTTCCGGCGAAGAGCCAGCGCGGAAAGGTGCCTGTCCCGAAGGCTCCATCTGGTTTCTTTTCTTTCCTTTTTTTGAGAGAGATTTTTGCTACAAGTCGCGTGTGCTCGCTGGAAGAACAGAGACAGAGAGACAAAGTGAAAAATTACCTCCAGGGGGTTTGGCCCGCCGCAATCCCTTCTCCGTTCTCCTCCTGGGATCTTGGGCAGGTAGACACACCTGCCCAAGTGTGAACTGGCTCAAACCAAGGTCAGCTGTGCGGGAGTCCAGGAACGTAACCGCTATGCCTTCTGCTGGTCCTTCCATGTGTTTTCACTTCCTGCTTCAGATGAGTTCATTGGTACTCAGCTTCAAACCCAATGATCACCCCTCCACAACTATTTCACAATACCCACTTTAATGAAATGAAATTTATAGACGATCTAAACTACTTCCATACATAGTTTCAAAAGGGACCAGTAGGTGGCGTAATGGTAATGCTGCTAGACTTCCACATAGTTGACTGTAGTTTGTGTCCCCGACCCAGCAGCGTATGTGCGTGTGTGTCCAAAATCCCGAGAGAGAGGAGTGTTGTGTAATCAAGTCAGTGGGAAATTAGAGGACATCCAGACATAGCCAAATTATTGGCGTTTATTGCCAGTGGCTTACCGGAAGACTCATGTCTCTCAAAGACCCCGCAGCCCAAGTAAAAGGAGAGAGATGCTTATAACAACAAAAGTCACAATCATTTCTGAGTTGACATGGTGATTACAATGATGACTGGAGTGTTGAGGAAACAGAGTGGGCTCCTATGCCAAAGCAGTTACAGAAGGAGAATCCAGCAGGTTAATAATTTCTAAGGGCACTCTCCAGAGTTTGTTTAATGGCCCCCATGGCTCCCGGCAGGGTCTGGTGATTGGTGATTCCATTGCTAAGGAACATCTGAACAAAAAGGTTTCAGGTTACTTAGCAAAAAAACAGTAAGACTATTAGTCACTCTATTTACTCTGAGAAAAAGGAGGAAGCAAGTATAATGTAAAGTTCAAAGATGGAGGTGCTTCTGCTTCAGGAAAATGGAGAAGGGGTTGTGGCAAGACCATGGGGGGGGGGGGATTCTCGGTTTCTGTCTCTTTGTTCCTCTCTGTCTTTCCAGTGAGCACACCCACTCTAGCAAAATTTTCTCTCTTAAAAGAAAGAAAGAAAAAAAATAGCTTCAAAAAAACCTTATTTGCCTGAATAGGAATGAAAAAGACAAAGTTAAAATTATATGCATTTTAATATTTTAAATGCACAAGTCTAACTTTATTAGAAGATATAAGGAAAGTGTCTGTTGTCTTCCTAGAATCATTGTGAACCCAGCAGTCACAAATGTAAACTGACACAGGTGTGGTATTATCAGGGGTGTGGCTTTTCAGAATCATGAACAGGTAGTGGTAAAGTTTCTACCAAAAAGTTCCAACTGATGCTGTAGCTGTATTTCTGGACATCTTTTTTTTTTAATTATGTATTTAACTTTATTTATTATTATTGTTTTTTAATTTAACCAGAGAGAAAGAGACAGAGAGAGAAAGTGAAAATGCAAGCTGTCAGGTCCAGGACTCAAACTGTGGTTGGCCATTTGAGATCCAGCACCTTAACCACCACACCACCTGCCGACCCTGCATTTCTGGAAATTTTAAGAACTGGTAAAACTAAGTTTTATGATCTATGAAACACAGAAATAATCTGTGTTAATATATAAAAGGCAATTGGATCCTAGCTTCAAATAATTATAAACATGTTTTACACCTATGTATAGGAGCAGACTTGGATTTTATGGGGATTGAATTACGAAATTTGGGGAACCCTCTTTAGGAAAAACATTGCAAAATTACAAAAATATTTTTAACTTAGCTACCATAGAAAGTATTTAGAATGGGAAAAAAAAAAAAGAAATCGTTAGAAATGACTAATTTTAGGGTCAGCCTATGGCACAGTGGGTAAGGTGGCTATGTCCCTGAAATTATTTTTGGGCCTCAAGTTTCCTTACCTCTAAAATGACTATAGTTAATGGGCCAACAGGTGGCAGGATGATTGGGGTGCTGGACTCCCACACAGCCTACAGTAGTTTGAGTCCTAAATCTGGCAGCTTGCTTTCTCATTTCTCCCCCCCTCTCCCGTCTGTCTCTCTCTGGTGAGTTATAATAAATAAGTAAATAAAATTATTTTTAAAGAATTATTTATCTAATTTTTATTTTTATGCTTTAATTTGACTAGAGGCAGAGAGAGAAGGAAAGTGAGAAACCAAGCTGCCAAGTCTGGAACTCGAACCATGGTTGCTGGGTCTGAATCCAGTGCCTTACCCCCCTATACCACCTGCTGGCCCCAATAAAATAATTATTTTAAAAGATAAGTATAGTTGAAGTGTGACCCAATGAGATAACACCAAAAAAAAAGCACTTCAAGTAGCGCCTGGCCCAAAAATAACCTAGTCGTGAATGGTAGCTGTCATTATCACTGTCACTCTACATGAACTAGTGCTAAAGGAGCTTGAAACTCCACCAGTGGGAGGACTGATGTATTAACCACTGACTCTGACAAGGGTGGATATGGATTTTTCAGAAAGTACAAACAAAGCACTCTTACCCTAGGGTTAGAAGCCCACAGATCTGGGACCAGCAGTTAATGTAATGGCCTATGTCACTGAACTCCCATGTAGTTGACCACGGTTCAAGTCCCCGACCCGGTGGCTTAAACCCACACCGGGCACATGTGCATCCGTGCTCAAGATCCCAAGAGGAGAATGGAGGAGAAGGGATTGTGGTGTGGCCATCCCCCCTGGGGGGTGATTTCTCGCTTTCTGTCTCTCTGTCTGTCTGGAGAGCGCACGCGTCCTATAGCAAAAACCTCTCCAAAAAAAAATAAATAAATAAAAACAACAGAAGCCCACAGATCTGAGGCACTGAGAAGGTGACATTCTTTCTTACCTTGAACCAAGGAGAGGGGGGAAGAGAAGAGTAATGGCTTTGAAAGAGTTGTTTTTTTGTTGTTGTTGTTTTTTAAGTGCCACAGACAGAGACTAGGTAACTCCTGGATCCAAAGGAAGAAGACAGGAGAGGAGAAAGACTCCTGGACTAGACCTTCATAGCAGGGAGAGATCCTAGGAGGAACCTAGATCCCTGGGGAAAGGACACGTGTCTAACTGGATAGAGAAGAGGCCTGGACAGAGGGCCTAGGAACTGTTACTGCCAGCCAACAGACCAGGCCCAGCAAGACTTATGGGAGAGAGTCTAATTGGAAAAGAAAGAACACCCCTCTCTAAGATTCCGGGTTCCTCTGGGGTTATGTAACAGGCATAATCTCAGAGACAAATAAGAGGCTACACTTTGACCCTGGAGGCGGATTCAGCCTATGAAAACACAGGGTACCTTTGCTTTTTTATACTTTCCTTTGACTTTTCTGTGTGTGTGTGTGTGTGTGTGTGTGTGTGTGTGTATGTTTGAGAAGGAGGGAGAGTATTCCTACCTTCATGGAAAGGGTTGGGAAACATTTTTTCTTCTGCTTTCTAAAACTGTTTGCACAAAATTGGGATTATATGCCATTCTGTAGGGTTCAATTTGCCTACAGAAACATCTGGGTCTACTGTTTTCTTGTTGAAAAAATTAAATCTTTCAAAGTAATTATAAGATAACCTGATTTTTATTTCTTCTTGAGTCAGTTTGGGTACGTTGTATTTTTTTTATTGTAGTTTGCTATAGGGCACGTATGCACTCTGGAGAGAGAGAGACAGAGACAGAGCGACAGAAAGAGAGGGAACGTGAGAAATCACCCTCTGGGGAGATGGCCATGCTCCAATCCCTTCTCCTCCATTCTCCTCCCAGGATTTTGAGCATACATGCATATGCTCCTGGTACGTTTTTCAAACCACTGGGACTGGGATTTGAACCACAAACTCAGCCATGTGGAAGCTAGTACTTTAGATCACCACTGGCTAACCTATAAATTACAATTTTCTAAACTTTGTTTATTTTTATTTAATTTTAAACTTTATTGCTGAAGTTACTCATAAGGTTCTGTCACTCTTTAACATATAATTATAGACTAATAATTGTTCTATGTTATGGCCTATATTGTTTGATCATTTATAGAGATATAGAGTTTTTTCAGTTTTTTTAAAATTATTTTATTTAACTTATTTATTTTAATTCGACCAGAGAGGGACAGAGAGAGAGAGAGGGAAAGTGAGAAAGCAAGCCACAGGTCCAGGACTCGAACTGCAGTCAGCCATGTGGGAGTCTAGCACCCTTAACCATCATGTCACCTGTCAGCCTCTAGACATATAGTTTTATCCCAAATTCCTACTATTATTTATTAGTGCTTTATCTTTTTTTTTTTTTTGAGAGAGACTTTTGCTATAGGATGCATTAACTTACCAGAGAGACAAAATGAGAAATTATCCCCCCTAGGGGAATGGCCATGCCACAATCTCCTCTCTTCCATTCACCTCTTGGAATTTGGGGCACGTATATATCTGTGCCCGGTGTGAGTTTCAAGTCATTGGGTCCTGGACTCGAACCACAGTCAACCACGTGAGAGTCCGGTGATTAACTTAACAGCTACGCCACCACCTGCCCCCGTCCCTTATCTTTTTTTTTTTTTTTATTTTGGGGCCTTATCTTTTTTTTAAGAATTATTTTATTTTATTTTATTTATTCATTTATTTTAATTTGATCCAAGAGAGAGCAAGAGTGAGAGAGAGAGAAAGTGAGAAAGCAAGCCACCAGGTCGGGACTCGAACCGTGGTTAGCCATGTGGGAGTGTCCAGCTCCTTAATCACCACGCCACCTGCTAGTCCCAATGCCTTACCTTTTAAGGAGAAAGATGAGAACAATAATTTATCAGTCATCTCCAGATACAGACCTGTATTTCCAGGAAGACTGTCACACAGTTTCCAGAGTCCAAAGACAAATGGGGTTTAATAAGCATTTATAAGCATTTTTATGTGTTCTATTTAAAGTACTAGGGATACAGAATTCAATAACTGTAGTTCAGCAAATGTCCCTGCTCAGAGGCTCACAGCCACCGAGATTGTCTCCCCCATACTCACACACAGAGACCCAGCCAACCTCCACATCGCCATTCATTGCTCACCCCTTTGTACCAAAGATGCAGTCCTTACTGCAAAGAATCATACACGGTTTCAGCAGATTCAATCTCTTCAGTATTTATTAGACACCTGTCGTGTGCCCTCTACCAGCTTCCTCGTTCCCAGAACTCAGTAACTCCCTGCACCCTCAGGGGCTGACAGCCCAGCATCCTGAGAGCAGAGTGAAGAGGAAGCTCAGTACTTGTCAGGCAGGCCAGCGGGTCTGAAGTGGTTGGGGTCTTTGCCACTCCGGCCCCATTCATTGGCAGCCTGGTCAGCCGCCGAGTCCTCCGCTCCGTGGCCTGTGAGTCTCTGAATATTCTCTCTGGCATTGCTGGAGTTCAGGTGGGTAGGGAAGAAGACGGATCACTGGGCTGATGAGGAATAATCCACCCTCCCCAGTCTCCCCTTCCCAAGAGATGGCTCTGAGAGGATCCAGGAAGGCCGAGGAAGAAGAGGCTGAAAGACTCCCCACACTGGGCACAGACCAACCAGTTTTGTTGGTCACCCTGGTACCCAGAGAGGGAGGGTTGGAATCACGCATTGCCACTAGCCACTCAGACGCCTTACTGAACCCAGAGAGGGAGGTGGGCAACAGGAGGAGGGACCGCAGCCTCAAATGAAAACTTCTCTAAAAGGAAGCTTACCTCTCCTGGTTCCCCAAGGCACCCAAACCCTGCCCACCCACCCTGGCATCCTCGGCAGCTCAGGTACCTGATCACCTCAGCAGCCCAGGCACCCCCAGGACCCCTTTGAGCAGCGTCGTAGTTTCCCCGAGCGTGGAAGTATTTGTCTGAATTTTTGAAATTGGCTTCTTTCATGTCAGAATAGGCCCTCCATATGTCTTTAGTCCCTGGAAAGGACAGAAAATGATGACAGTGAATGTGATCTGGCAAAATAGAAGAATTTAAAGCATTTCTCCCACTGACCCCAAGAGTTCAGCCTTTAACAAAACCCATGGAAATTATATTGGCTTAAGTGAGTATTTCTTTCCTGGGTTAATGTAATGAGAATCAGACTTGGTGCAAGTTTTATTGTTTAATTCTTCTGTAAGTTCTGCTGCTACTTTGTTTTGGACTGTGAGTGATATAGGAATGTAAAGAACTGAGATTTTGTGTTGTTTTGTTTTGTTTTGCTGTAGGCACAAGCACTCTCCAAAGAGAACTAGAACGGGGGAGGGATGGCCCCACCATAACCCCTTCTCTTCTAGTCTCCTCTTGGGATTTGGGCCACATATGCACATGTACTCAGTGTGACCTTCAAGCCACGGGGTCCAAGACTCAAACCATGCAGCTGCACATGTGGGATCCAGCACCTTAACCTCCATACCACCTGTTGGCCTGAGGTGAGATGGTCTTTAAGGGATGTTTCATTGTCCAGTGAACCTCCACCTGGAAGTAGAGCCAGGGACCCTTCTGACCCAGGTGTAAGATCGTAGGGGATTCTGAAGGAAGCTGTGGACACATGGTGTTTCCAACCTAGTTCCAATGAGCAGAGGAGGGCCTCTTGGTCTTAAATACATCTAGACGGGGAGAGTGTGCCTGGAACCTGGGCAACTGTCAGAATTTAGTCAGCAGACAGCAAAGGTAAGTTCCCTAAGACACCTTTAAATAATAATGGCCACCCTGCAGTCCCTTCTCCTCCATTCTCCTCTCACGATCTTGGGCATGCACACACATGCGCCTGGCGTGAGTATAAGCCACCAGGTCTGGGATTCAAACCCCAGTCGACTACATGGGAGTTCAGCGACATAGCCATTACGCTAACTGCTGGTCCCCAAGTAAAATAATTCTTAAAAAAAAAAAAGTACTTAACTGATTAGGAAAAACAGGTCAAATTGAATATAGAGTTATAATTACAGTTTACATCATTTCTCTTTGAGATCATTTCTTTTTTTGTACTTATCATTCCTG